CGTGAGTTAGGCAGGCAGAGTGCCGGGGATGCAGATCCCTATGTACTGCAAAACACAACCATGCAAGGGCTATGGGGAGAGGGATAGCTCAGTGGTTTGAGCACTGGCCTGCTAAACCCAAGGTTGGGAGTTCAATCCTTGAGGGGGCTACTTGGGGATCTGGGGCAAAATCAGCACTTGGTCCTGCTAGTGAAGGTAGGGGGCTGGACGTGATGACCTTCAAGGTCCCTTCTAGTTCTAGGAGATGGGATATCTCCATTCATTATTATACAAGGAACCCTTTGCATTACTGCAGTGGGCATTTGGGGGTAGGAAGTCCACCCCTGAAGGAGTTGTGGCTGGAGCACTGTTCTGCTGCCCCTGACTCCCAGAATGGCCATTTGAGGCAAGAGCAGCTGGGTGTCACTTAAAGCAGCCCTGAAGCAGCTCCAGTTAGTGCCAGGGATTCAATGGTCATTGGCTGGTTCTGGGATTAGGGAGCCATAAAACCATCCCTTAAGAACAGCTCTACCAGACTCTCAGTGTGGCCTTGGGCAAATCATTTCATCTCTCTGGGCCTCAGTTCCCTATCTCTAAATTGGGAATAATAATCTATCCCTCCCAGCACCCATTTTGTCTATGTATGCTGTAAGGTCTCTGGGCCAGGAACTGTCTCTCACTATGGGTATATCCGCACTGCTTAGCTAACGTGGGTTCAACTAGCAGTGAAGTAAGGCTTTTAACTTGAGTTCAGGGTCAATTTCAACCCCAGGTTCCCCTAAAGCAGGGGTATGGAAATTGTATGGCGGGCCATGAATGCTTACAAAATTGGGGGTTGTGGTGCGGGAGGGGGTGAAGGCTCTGGCTGGGGATGCGGGGTCTGGGGTGAGGCCAGAAATGAGGAGTTCAGGGTGTGGGAGGAGGCTCTGGGCTGGGGAAGGGGCTTGGGGTCAGGGGGTGAGGGCTTCGGCAGGGGGGGTGCGGGCTCTGGGGTGAGGATGAGGGGTTGGGGGTGCAGGAGGGTCCTTTGGACTGGAACCAAGGGGTTCAGAGGACAGGAAGGGGATCAGGGCTGGGGCAGGTGGTTGGGCTGTAGGAGGGGGGCAGGCTCCAGGCAGCGCTTACCTCAAGTAACTCCCAGAAGCAGCGGCATGTCCCCCCTCCGGCTCCTACGCAGATACACGGCTAGGCACGCTGCTCTCTCTGCAGGCACCGCCCCTGCAGTTCCCATTGGCTGGGGTTCCCAGCCAATGGGAGCTGCAGGGGCAGCGCTTGGGGCAGGAGCAGTGTGCAGAACCCCCTGGCTGCCCCTATGAGTAGGAGCTGGAGGGGGGACATGCCACTGTTTCTGGGAGCTGCGCAGAGTGGGGCAAGCCCCAGACCCTGCTCCCTGGTGGGAGCTTGAGGGCCAGATTAAAAAGTCTGGAGGGCCGGATGCGGCCCCCAGACCATAGTTTGCCCACCCCTGCCCTAAAGGCTTTAACTTGAGCTTCCAGTTCAAGTTCAGAACACGCTGGTATTTGCAGTGTAGATATACCCTATGTGTCTGGACAGTGGCTAGCAGGATGGGGCTCTGATCTCAGCTGGAGCTTCTAGGCACTATGGTAATAATTAAAAACGGAGCATCATTTGAAGGTCAGAGCGTGTGCAATACACTTACAGAGAGTGCCTCCCACCTGGTGGGGGCTCTCGTAATGCGCTCCAAATGCTAAATAACAGCAGCGGGGCCCTGGACTTGCTCCTCCAACGCAGCTCTCTTGATAGCCAATTCCTTATTAAAGCTTCACCGTGCAATCATTCTTCCAATTATATTTCCTAGGTGTTCTTTTAATTTCTCTTTGTTCCAAGCAATCAGGGAACTCGCTGGAGCTAATAATAAGCAGATGGTTCTTAGCAGTAGTCCGCTCTGATATCCAGGCTCTGTTTGCTGCTATGTCTGTTCCTCCAAATTGTTATTAAGTTGCTTGCTTTCTCAGCTGAGACATCTGATCTGTCGTGGGTATGGAATATGAATTGCTGCTGCTGGTAATGCATTCCCCTCTGCAGACATGTGGCTAGCTTGCATTCTGGAGTTGTTTCTCTGTAAAACAGCATCTCCTGACTTGGTGCCTCCAGCATCCTCAAACTTCTCCCCAGTGGGTAACTGGCCAAACAGAATCGGTTAGTCAAGGATGGGAAGAGCCAAATCTCAGTGCTTATATTACTGCGCTTCTCGAAAGAGTCCCATTCTGAGGCGGTAATAACAATACTAGCTCACACATTTTGATTCTCATCTATAGATCTCAGGGTGTTTTGTAAAGGTGAGTGAAGATTATTATCCCCATTTTACAGAGTGAGGCAGTGACTGCTCCAAGATCAGACAGCATGATAGTGGTGGAGCTGGGAATAGAACTCATCCAGCAACGCGTCCACTGGACCAGGCTGCCAGTTCTCTGAAAGGAATATAGCTGCAGGTAAAAACCTTGCTTGAGTTCAAGGTGGTTGGAGCTGGGAGTTTGCTTTGTGCCAGTCGCTCCAAGGGAATCTATCCCATAGTTATTCATGTACATGAAATGGCAAGCAAGTCCTCTGGCACAGGATGGGCACAGGATGGGAAGTGGCAGAGGACGATTCAGTGCCCACCATGCTGCAGCCTGGTGAATTTTGAGAGTGCAAAATAGCACTTGTCCCAAATGACAGGTTCTTCGGTTAGACGGCTGCTTAGAGTTAATTAAGAAGACAAAATTGGTGACGTGCGACACAGAAACTTTATGAGTTGTAGTTAATACAGACAAATATAACTGAAATAATAGAAAAATCAATATACGTAAGTGTAAGAATTAGGTAAGTACACTAAAATGGTTTCCTGTATTGCTCATACTTACAGACTTACATTGTACGTCCTTATGGAGACCATTACAGACAATGATGGAAAGAAAAAGTAAGTGACGATTGCTACAAAAGGAAGGTACTGTGCCAGGCTTACTGCCCGGTTGCTCAGTGTTGTCATTCCGGTGTCCCAGCGAGGGATGGGTTTGACAATCTTTATATACCTTTTTCCATTCCACCCACATACATCCAGGGCTATATCTGATCAAGTCAAGTCTCAGCCTCCTGTCCATATTTGGTATTTCGGGAAGCCAATTTTAGGGTTCCAAATGTCCATTTGTGGTGTTCCAGTTGATCATAATTACATTTCCGACAGTGAACCCAACCGTTTGCATGAATCCCTTTCCCAAGAGTTTCCAGACATAAATGTGATTAGCCTTATTACCAAACCCCCCTAAAATGCTACCATCTATTCATTTCTGGTTTCCCTATTTATTACAAGATACATTGCTAAACTATCACAAGATACATATTACTAAATTTTATAACCTTTGGTCAAGCACATCTCATAAGCACATAATACTCACAATAACTAGGCGCTAACACTTCATGCTTGTTTTGGTTCTTCTACTTGCTGTGACAGCTTCAATAACTTCCATTATTATTTTATCCAAAACTATAGGCCCTCCAAGATCAGGTCTGGGGTCAACGATCAACAACGCCAATGGGCCATCACCCTTGGTGCCCTTTGCTCTTGGCATAATAAACATAATATGTAGGAATCACATAGTTAGTGATGGCCCAAATACCCATGTTTACTAACTATACACAATGTGCATGGCCTAGCGAAACAGCTTCTCTGGCTGATATCCAGTGGCTTCTGAAACATAGAACATACTGAGTGCCACTGGAGGACTCATAAATTATTTAAAGGGATACTACCCTATTCCCATATGCTACAGTCCGTTTAAGGCTGTTCATTCTCCATATCCCATTCGCACCTTGTTCTCTCAGCTGAGGCTGCCATCAAGGGAAGCCATCAGTGTTGGTCTTTCTGTCCCCACAGCCAAATCTCTTATCCGGACCTTTATACCCTGCCATGATTACAACAGTATCCTCTGCTCCAGCCACCCAGACAACCAGACATTGCATTCCTTCCACAGCTGCTAAAATCATCTTCCTTGCCCGTCGGTCTGATCACATCACA